ATACTCTGACCAGACTCTACCATCTCCACCATACTCTGACCAGACTCCGCTGCTTCCTCTCTTTTTATTAAGGAATGTTCCCTACGTTACATGGACGTGCAGCCTCTAACGGATGAGATCACACAGGCTGCACGCAGTCGTAGCTGAATATTACATTATATCCAACATTATATCCAAGCTCCTTCAGTCATGGTACAGTCAGGCTCCTCAATGGATGAGAACCGAGGATTTTGGCCTTCTCACACTTCTGTTCTCAGCCTCTGTTTTGCTGTAGACGCTGCACCTTGTTATTCAAAGCTGCTTACACAAGCACATTGGTTATTCATTCCCACACAATGACAGTTCATGACGTTCTGATTGAGAGTACATAATGTTCTGATAATAAGAGGTTTGAAATGATAGATACGAAAAGAGATGGACTACAGGCGTCCTCCATATTATATGATGACCTATGTACAGCAATTCCAACAGGAGGCGACCAGGAGGCATCCTGATCAGATGCCCGAACCACCTCAACTGCCTCCCTCCCGAATGGCCAAGCTTCTCCCCCTGTCTCTAAGGGAGAACCCAGCCACCCTGCGGAGGAAACTCATTTCGGCCGCTTGTATCCGCGATCTTGTTATTTCGGTCACTACCCAAAGTTCGTGACCATAGACGAGGGTGGGAACGTAGATCGACCGATAAATTGAGAGCTCCGCCTTTAACTCATTGACTGCCAGAGTTTTTTGAGCATTTTGACTGATTTTTCAAGAGCCACGGAATAGTTTGTGCTATGACTATGTAAACACCGAACACACCAAAAGTAAGAGTAGACTCTCGTCTTTCATCGGGAAAAAAATGAGTTTCTACCTTATTCCGTTCTTCCTCGACTTGCGTCTCACTGGCGACATGTTCTCGCATAGCGAACCGTTACCTTTTTCTTATTTGCCTACAGTCTATGCTCATCTCCCATCAAAAGTGGCACTGCCACCTAGAGGGTCAATTTGTTACTACATACTCTGTATAGTAGCCTTATATTTACGGACAAGCTTTAGCAGATCGTCCCCCAGCCACTCGCGTTGAAAAACATAAAAGACGTCTATAGACGTCTTTGGCAGTCAACGGTTGTATTTGAATTGACGTCTATAGACGTCTTTGGCAGCCAATGAGTTAATAAATTATGTTTGAAATCAGTTTATACTCAATCTCTATCAAAATATCACTAATAAATCAAGTCAAAGCCATTGACCGATCGTTTTTTGCATGTTTTTGTAAATCTAGACTTTCTGTGGGAGGCATATTGTCCTCTCCTATAAAGGTAATCTGGTAATCTGAGTTTTAGACGGATAAATCCCACCCTAGTTTCAACCCCATGGGGCAGGGACAGAGCAAGCGTGTGTGTCTGCAAGTGTAAGTTTTTATAGCTTCTTTCTCTAAAATCTTGTTTGCTAGTTGTTGTTTGCTTGTTTACTACTCAGGTAAAGACCTACGTGTCTACCTGTGCGTGTCCACCTAGGAAGGCCACTGAACAATGCAATTTTGTCCCACTGCCATTCCGCTCTAACTGCAGCCATACCACCTGCTTACACAATGTCCCACAAGTACAATTCCATTCCTGTTGTCACTAGCTCATGCAGAAGGTCTCGCATTATCAAACGGTACCGCAACCTTCATTACCTCCGCTCTCTTAAAGAGACCTCCCCCTGTGACACACCCTTGTCTGTGGGGTTGTGGAACTGCCAATCGGCAGTAAACAAAGCTGACTTCATAACTGCTTATGCCAAATACCTGTCACTTGACATCCTGGCTCTTACTGAGACCCCGGCTGCACTTTCAATCAACCACACATTCTCCCACACCTCTCGTACATCTGGGCGTACATGTTGCGTCCGCTCTCCCAAACTCCAGCACATTTTCCTCACTTGAGGGTAATGAGGCCACGGAGACCCTTTGCTCTACGTTGAGCTCCTGCCTGGATAGTCTATGTTGTGACAGCCCCCTCCTATCCAGTAGGGATCTCTAGTCTAGTCCACTATTTGTTTTTGTTCTTTCAGGAAGCAGGTGGATGGACTGTTGATTGAACGCACCCGGTGGCTAATAAATACGGGCATCTAGTCAGTCACCAGGGCTGCTTGGTTGGCCTCCGGACTTGACCGGAACAGGCAGCACTGCTCCACACTTCTCTCGGACTGGCTGAACAGTCCTCTAAGCGCATACTTTCTTTGAAACAAATAAATTGTTTATTTGGATCCGCTCGTCTGTCTCCCATTTTTGTCATTGCCTATGGGGGGGCGTGACAATGTCCTCTATCCACTAAACCTGCTCGAGCCTCTGGGTCCCACCCATGGCTTAATGATCCACTCAGAGCACTACGCACCAGCCTTAGGGCTGCAGAACTTAAACGGCACAAATCAAAAAATCCAGATGATCTAACAAAATTTCAGCCACTGCTGTCTGCGTTGTCTTTAAGCATCACTGATGCAAAAAAGGCTTTCTATACTGATAAGATTCACAGTACAACCGACACTCGAAAATTATTCTCCATCTTTAAAAATCTGCTTAACCCTCCTCCTCCGCCACCTGCTACTAGCTTAACGGCAGACATGTTCGCCTAATTTTTTACTGACAAAGTTGCAGCTATAAGCAAACAGTTTACTGAACGGCCTGCACCTGAAACTTCTCATAGTACATATACAAGCAGAAGTCCTACTGCTTTTTGCTCCTCCTTCGCTCCTCTCACTGAGAGCAATGTGTCCAAACTTCTCACATGTAGCCGTCCTACTACATGCCTGCTGGACCCAGTTCCTACAAACTTACTCCAGTCCATAGCTCCCACAGTTACTGCAGCAGTCACACATGTGATCAATGCTTCGCTGACATCTGGCACATTTCCTAGCTCATACAAGCAAACTTTGGTCACACCGCGACTCAAAAAACCCTCTCTCCCTCCAACTCAGGTGGAAAACTATCGGCCGGTTTCTCTACTTCCATTTCTGTCAAAGACCATTGAAAGGGCCTTTAAGCAGGTCACAGACTACCTCTCACAAAACAATCTCCTTGATACAAACCAATCTGGGTTTAAAAGTGGCCACTCCACTGAAACGGCTCTGTTGTCTGTGACAGAAGCCTTAAAAGAGGCAAGAGCAACTGCCAAGTCCTCAGTACTTATCCTTCTTGACTTATCAGCCGCATTTGACACAGTCAATCATGACATCCTTCTATCTATACTCATGAGCATGGGCATCACAGGGAGAGCACACTCCTGGTTTGAATCGTACCTCACTGGTCGATCATTTAAAGTATCCTGGCTTGGTCACACTTCTGCAGCGCACCACCTCGCCACAGGGGTTCCTCAAGGTTCAGTACTTGGACCTCTTCTCTTTGCTATATATACCATTTCTTTGGCCCAGATCATTCAAACACATGGTTTCTCATACCACAGCTATGCTGATGATACACAGCTCTATCTGTCATTCCCAACTGATGACCACTCTGTCTCAGCACGCATCTCAGACTGTCTCTCTGACATATCAAAATGGATGAAAGCCCACCACCTCCAGCTGAGTCTCTCAAAAACTGAACTGCTTGTCTTTCCAGCCAAACCAACTATTCACCACAATATTCACATCCAAACTGAATCCCTCTCTCTGACTCCATTAAAGGCAGCAAGAAACCTGGGTGTCATGATTGATGACCAGCTTACCTTTAAAGATCATGTTGCCTCTGTTTCTCGATCCTGTCGCTTCTGTTATGTTCCCAGCTCTGGAGCTGGCTCCACCCCACCTGCACACCTGCTCAGCTACTCACACCGCAATCAGTGCTCATCACCCTCACCTGTTCCCACCTCCTTATATTCTCCGTGCCTGCCAGAAATCGATGCCAGAACGTATCGAGCCTTGTGTGAGTACTTCCAGCATTATATCCTGTTTCTGTCTGCCTGATTACGACCCGTCTGACTCCGACTCCCGAGCTTGCCTACTCCCTGTCTGTTTAGTCCGCCTGCCTGAGATCTGCTCCGTCAGTCTCTTGATCCTGCCTGCCTCCCCGTGTTCCGACCTCGCCTGCCTGACTACGTGCTCCCGCCTGCTCCCCTGGATTGCTCCCCTGGCTTTGACCCTCGACCGGCCCCTGACCACGAGTTGGATTATCTGCGCTGCCTGGACCACCCGTTACCGAACCTGGACTGTTCTGACCACGCCTTTGCCGAGCCCCTTTCTGCAAATAAATCAGTTTGAACTGACCGTTCGCCTCTGGTTGCTTCTGGGTCCTATTCACGTTCATTACAGCTTCGCATTACTAAACATAAGAAAGATCCGGCCGTACCTAACACAACATGCTACCCAGCTCCTGGTGCAGTCTATGGTCATCTCCCGCCTAAACTATTGCAACGCACTCCTGACTGGTCTCCCAGCCTGTATGGTAAAACCTTTACAAATGATCCAGAACGCAGCGGCGCGTCTGGTCTTCAATCAGCCCAAAAAATCTCACATCACCCCTCTGTTCATTGAACTCCACTGGTTACCTCTGGCTGCCCGTATCAAATTCAAGCCCCTGATGCTAGCCTACAAAGTGCTAAAGGGTACGGCTCCCATCTACTTGAATCCTCTTGCAAAGTGGACTGT